AAGACCACCAGAACCACAACCTTGCAGGAGAAAACTTCTGCCAGGACTCCTATTCAGGAGTTGTCTTCTCAAATTTGTCACCAGCCTTGTGGCCCAGGATTATTCTATCAAAGTAATTTACATAATCCTCCTCATTTTGCTTTTAAAAATTTCCCCTTGCCTCAACATCTTTGAACACACACATAGTTTACCATGTCACATATATTTATATTGCAGTATTCTACTAGTTCCAAATAAATGTGCTAATCTTTGGAGAATCTTTCTCTGTATGTTCCTTAGGTTGGCAAGACCCATAGAGATTAAGTGCCTTCTATTTAACTAAAAAGTGGCTGAACCAGTACAGTTATTGCTACACTTCTATATCACAGCACTTCCTCTTATTTTCAATCTCTCTCTCTCTCTTTCTCTCTCTCTCTCTCTCTCTCTCGCTCTTTTTATTAGCAGTTGCATGGCTGAGAAATATTTCTGAATTGTGTCAAAATCTATATCCATTCTTCAAGTATTTCCTGTACATTCTTTTGTAGTTGCTTCTAGAACTTCCATTACAAAGGGTAAATATTTTTGTTTTGAATTTCAAAATCCCACAATCTTCGAAAAAAACTACTTGTTTTTTTAAGAAAAAAATACTAGTCTTTAAGAAAAACTACTATTTCATGAACAGTTACATTGCTTAATGCCATTAGCCTGAATCTGTAAGAGTAAAAGAAATTGAAGTTAAAGTGTAAAAGACCGGGTATTGTAAAGTTTCTAAGCTGCAAAGCCTGAGTTAAAATGTAAAGGACCAGGTATTGTTAAGTTCCTATGCTACACCCAAAACCTGAAATTCCTATAGCTGTTAAAACAATTCCCGGGACTGTCCAGTAGATAAATAACCTGGACCCTGTGCAGTTTGGCACGAAGGCATTCAGGGCCCAAACCAATCAGTTTGAATGTACCCCCCCTTCCCGCCCGACCTGTTCCCGCCAATGAATGTACTGATCATGTCTAAGAATTGTTGTTTGATTTTCCCACGGTGTATGGTGATTTGTTAAAGGAGACTGTGATGTATGTAAAGTCCCCGCCCTCCCCAAAAAGTGTACTTAAGCACTGCTCAACCCCTGCTCGGGGCTCTGGGCTGCTCTCCCTTGTTGAGTGAGCACGGAGCCCCAGTGCGCTGGATTCTCAATAAACCCCCTTCTGCGGTTGCATGAGTCGGTCTCTTGGTGGTCTCTTCCTCCGTCGTTCGCCAGACCCTTACAAATCAACCTTGTAAAGCTCTTTAAAGATGGACCAAAAGTAGCCAAGTTTCAAATCAGTTGAATTTGTAGCAATGTGATTTCTTCTTTAAAAATAAGAGTTGAGCCAGGCATAGTATGGCCCACTCCTGTAATCCCCATGACTTGGGAGGCTAAAGCAAGAGGATGGAGAATTCAAAGCCAGCATCAGCAAAAGCCAGGCGCTAAATAACTCAGTGAGACCTTGTCTCTAAATAAAATACAAAATAGTGTTGCAGATGTGGCTCAGAGGTTGAGTGCCCCTGAGTTTAATCCCCAGTACCCCCACCCCCCAAAAAATATTGATAATAAGAAGAATTGATACAGTTCCTTCTTGAAGAAATTGAGAGTAAATTGAAGTAAAAACTTAGGGTTACTCGGGAATAGTAGACATAATGAGGAAAGAAGCACCAAAGAAGTCACAAAATGAAGACAATGCTATGGGCAATCAATCAGACTGTTGCACCACTACCACCCCCAAAGTGTATTTTAGAGCATATGAGTCTTTACTACAAAAACTATTAATCAAATGTAAGAAAGATTTGCTAGAACAAAGAGACCAGGCCAGATGCAAACTTCACAGATCATTTCAGCCGTTATTCAGAAATGGGACTACACAAATGGGAATGGACCCACTTTCCTGAACAAAGGAGGGGACTGGGCTTATGAAGGTTATACTGAGAGGTGACTTAATTAATGAGCGTGTCTGCTGAGAGCGATAGCCAAGTCGGAATGAATGGCATTTTTGCCAGAATGGAGTGGTTGAAAGGTGACGCCAGGGAACCATTGAGATGATGATTTGAGTTAAGCTATATATAATTGCTGTGATGCTGGATTGATTGTATTGTATATTTGACCTTTACTGTTGGGCAATGGGGTAGCTCTTGCTGCCTCAGGCGCCCGCTACTTTGGAGTTCTCACAGGGATTCCCGGAGAATTCCCATTGGTTGGGGAAGTGCTGGAGGAGGGATTTTTCCGGTTGGTGTGTGGTGTGTGTGTCCCTGGAGAAGGCCAGGTGCGTGGCATTCGCGGGAGTGTGGAGAATAAAGGAGTTCCTGTTTTGAACCTACAAGGCTGTGTGGCGGCTCGGTTATTTTGTGCCCAGCCAGACTGCGGCACGTGTCAAAATTGGGCACTCAAAAATTGGAGGTCTGTTTTACTGGGAGAAATGGGAGGGAGTCTAGGGTCAGCAGTCAGGCTCTGGGGTTTATCTTATTAGACCTACTGGAGGGCCTGGGGTAGTTGATATCTGGAAAGGATTTGTTTATAGAAAGATTAATGCTTTGGCCTCTTCCCAGAGACTGCCTTTCTGAAGTTTTATGGACACCTCTTCCCCATGTTTTGTTTTATCACCCGGAAAGAATGTATTGGGAAAGGATCAGTGCTCTCAATGTATGCTTTCCTTTTCATTCCCCCAGGGCTCACTATTTTGGGGATTTGTCATTTTCCATATTTAATAAGAATACAGACACTTTCAGGTATGAAAAAGATTAAAAAAAAAATCACATACCCAGACTAAGATGATATTTAGAGAATTACCACTAAAAAAAAAAAAAACCTAAAAAAAAAGAATATGGGGGAAAATATGGAATACAGAAAAACCATGGGTCCAATCAGGAGGGCAGTAAAGGTGAGACAGGGCAAAAAGACAGTCAAAATAGGTAATAAATGGTAAGTCAAGAAAAAATAACTAAAGGTGAGTCTTTAGAGAGGTTATGAAAATGGGTCATGAAGATGGAGGCTGATTCAAAGAAAATAAAATGCTAATACCTCCAGAGCACTTCCCCTCCTCCAACCTGTTGCCAAGGTTATCTGCCTCCAAGAAATTGTTCCTCCCTGCAAGGAGTTGTTAATGAATATCCCCTGGATGGCTCCCTTCCTGCTTGTACCCCTGGACAGTCCCTTTCCCACCTTTGGTTACTCAACTTTTTGGTCACTGAGGAAAGATAAGAGGAGGAGGGGGCATAAGAAGAAAAGAAATCTGAAATCTATAAAAGGGGCAGGATACCCTCACTCCCGGGGCACCAGCTTTGGACCCCCTCCTCTAGAAAGGAGCTCCTCCCCCCCACCCACCCACTTCCCTCCTTTAAATAAAACTTTTTGCTTTTGCTTCAGCATTTCTCAGGTGTTCAATCTTCAACACTGGAGGAATGGGATCCAACCATGATTTACTTTCAACACAGGTATCAAAGGGGTGTCCTGCCTTGACAGTGACAGCAAACCTAGATGGCAATCAACTCATATTGGGGCAGGAGGATAGAGAATGGAAACTACTGGGGAAGAGAGCATTTGATAAAGTATCTAACATGACTGAGTTTGAGATTAAATGAGGCCTTGTTAAGGCAAATGTATAAAGGGAAAGGAAAGGCAATTAAAAACTCCAAGAGAACAAAATGGTATCTAAAGAAAATATAATCACGGTAGATTGACTCCATCTGAATGATATTTGTTTAATAACAATATACAGTTTAGAATTCTCCAAGAGGCAAAATAAAGATTTGGTCAGGGTTATAACTGAATGGAATGTAAATAACACACATCATAAAAAAATAAGAAGAGTAATATCTAAAATGGGCTAAGTCAAGAAAAAAGAATTAAAGGTGATTCTTTGTAGAGGTTACCATTGGGTATAAGGGAGGGTGGCACAAAAGATAGTTTTTTATGTTAAGCTTTTTTTTTAGAATTTCATTTTCTTGAAACAATGTACAGTATTATTACAACAGAAATAAATTCAAGCAAAGAGAGAGAATCCAATCATGGTTTAGTCAAACCTTAAATCATTTTGCATAGAAATTCATCTACTCATTAGAAAAGCTCAAATCCTTGTTGCCTTAGAAGTGTGCTATTTGAAGTTACTACCCAAGGGAGGAATTTGTGAACATTACCCTATTTCTTGTAAAGATACAACCATCGATAACAAGCTCAAATAACTTCTTTAAACCTAAAAAGGCAATGAGGCAGAGTGAAGATAAGAAGATATTTAGTTTCTGGAACTCAAAGATCAGTGAGCTAAAACGACTTAGCTGCTTATACGTTCTTTTGGCAATGACAGTTTAGAAGTGAACAAAAAGAAAAAACAACGTTAATATCCCTGTCCTTCTCTCAACCTCAAGATTTTTCGCAGCTGGAGATTCACATTGTTACACAGAAATGTTTAACACAAGCATCTGGGATTCATTCATGTCGATTGTTGCTCCTTAAGAAGGGCATTCCTTATTTAAAATATTAACCTTCTTTTAAAGACTATTTCAGAAGAAATGAATGTCCCCTCCTTCCTATTCCTTGCCAATGCTCCATTTCAAAGTTTTGACCTGCTCCAGGAAATTGAAAAGGAACTCCCTTTCTACATCCTAAATGTCTCTTCATTTCTTCTGTAAAAGCTTAAGGACCATCCTCAGGGTGAACAGCCTCTCCTGGATCCTCAAACCTGTTTCCAGATGTGAGCCCCCAAGGTAGAGAACAGACCCAGGCTTCTAGCCCTTTTCCAGATGACAGCCTCCAGAAAGATGAGTGTGGTAGAGAGACCTAATCCCCTGATTCCAGATGTAGGCCAAAGAGCACATGAATAAATTGAAACATCTCCTCTCCCTACCATGTGTAATTCCCTAAGCAAGAAAACCTTCTGATGCCTCTCCAACAACACTCCACACTAAGTCTCCAGAGAGCTATGTCATCATAGATCAAAGTCTTATTGTTCTGGCTCTCTTCCTATTTCCACCCTCAACCCAAAGATACCCAATTCCTCACCTGGGTCAAGGTGCTTATCTCAGGGCACACTTTGGAGATTAGATTATTTTGAAGACATAGATTCTTCAGGTCAGGCAATAGTTCTAAAGTTGAGGGCATCTTTCTTATTTTTTTCCCATTCAAAGTAACGATCTGAGTTTGTCCGTGACCCTTTATTGCTCTTATTAACAATCTCTCAGTCATGATCTTTGAAGAGAAGTAGAAAATGAAGAAAGTAATGTCACATCAAAGATTAGAGTTCTTTATTATTTATCTTTAGAATCTTTAACTGTAGAATTGGTGTGTCATAGAAACAGAAACATTCTGAGATCCTCCCTGGTGAAGGTAGGAGGCACTGGATGGTTTCCTATAGAAAAGGCAGAGAGGGAAAATAGCTGGTTCAGGTTTGGAGCAGGAAATGTGCAAGATAAACCTTGAATACCTTAGGCCAGAGACAAAGATGTTATCAAAGACGAATGAGATCACATCAAAAGGACACAGGAGCCAAGTTCTGAGAGCTCCACTAGTTTAAGATGAAAAATATTGAAGATCTGGGGAGGAAAAAATTAGAGTGGATTGAAACACATCAAACCATATTAAAATCTAAAGAGTTCAAAATGGTATTTTTTTTTAAAGAAACTCATTAATCACACTGGAAGTTGCTAACTCAATATGAAATTGATAAGGAGGAAGAAATTAAGCTTTATTCTGCTCTTCTAGTATAAACTGCATCAGCATAATCTAATAATTAATAAAGCTTTTATTCATAGAAAAATTTAAGCTAATAAATACGGAAGGAAAATAGCTTTAGAAGATTAACTATTTTTGCAAGTTTCTAAAGCAATAAAGAATCTATGCAAAAATCAAATTGAATGCTAAAAGTGTTCAATGAAAGGTTGCTAAGAGACTTTATAAGGAAGGAACTAAGTTAATAATTTAACTAGAGTAACTAAGAACAGAGTAGGGTCCAAGAGCATGAGAAGAAGATTAACATTAAACAGGGATGAGAGGTGGGAGGGAAAGGGAGAGAGAAGGGAAAATGCATGGAAACGGAAGGAGACCCTCAGAGTTATACAAAAGTACATACAAGAGGAAGTGAGGGGAAGGGGAAACATAATACAAGGGGGACAAACGAATGTCAGTAGAGGGGGCAGAGAGAGAAGAGGGGAGGGGAGGGGAGGGGAGGGGTGATAGTAGAGGATAGGAAAGGCAGCAGAATACAACAGACACTAGTATGGCAATATGTAAATCAATGGATGTGTAACTGATGTGATTCTGCAATCTGTATATGGGGTAAAAATGGGAGCTCATAACCCACTTGAATCAAATTGTGAAATATGATATATCAAGAACTATGTAATGTTTTGAAGAGCCAACAATAAAAAATTAAAAAAAAAAATAATAATTTAACTAACTAATCAATTTTAGTCATCATTAAAACTGCGGCAATCACATGTTATAAATTCTATGTAGGATGTAATAAAAAGTACACAGTACCACCAAATAAATTTTCTTGCCAAAAAGAAAAAAATCGAACCTGAATCAAATCATGGCTTCAAGATCTAATTACCCATTTTCTAGACTGCATATTAAAATTCTTTTCAGGAAAGCATTCAGTTAAATCTAGAACATGGAAAATTTTATAGGGCCAATGGCACAAGGTTTCACCAACAAATCAATGATTTCAATAAAAAGAGAGAAAACTGCTGTGAAGAAAATGAAACGTAATTCAAATAACAGCTAGATGCAATGTCAGACCTGGGCTGAATCCTGATTTGAATAAAAATATCTTGGAGTCAATAAAGGAAACTTATTCATGGACTGTGTATTAGGTAATAGGAATTATTAATCTGGTTTTCTGTGATAATGAAAAGGTGTATCACTTAGCTTAAATGGACTTAACATTTAGAAATGCATACTGAAATTTTCAGGTGGAATAAGATGATGTCTTGGATTTTCTTAAAATTGCCCAGGGGAAACAAGTGTTCAGAACAGATTGAACAAGATTGAGAAAACATTGACAATTATCAAGGCTGAGTAGGAGGTATGTAGAAGCTATTGACGCTAATTTTGTTATTATTGTGTACATTTGAAAAAAACAAAAAGAAGGATGGGGGAGCTACAGCCAACGATATTTGATTGTTACTAGAAATCCATTTTTGTCCAGATAGGAGGAGACTTGGAGGTATTTAGGTATATATATATGTGTGTGTGTGTGACATTTAGATTGCTAATTTCCAAAAATGTAAACATTGTAAAATATATTCCATCTTGAAAGTATTGTGATCACAAGTCAACTGTTCCTTTGGTATTTAGGATTCACTTTATTCATTTATTCAACAACATTAAATTTAGTGACATCATGCAAACATCATTATCCTAGCAGTAAAATAACAGGTACTGATTAATAGTGACTTACAGTTATAAGGAGGACAGATAAAACAATTTTCAGCTACCTCATTACTGTTCTTTGTCTTATCTCTTCCAAATTGATCTTTCAAATATAGTTTTATAAGAATCAAGTTATTATATCTAAACAAAACCATGTCTTCATTTAAAAAACAAAACAAACAAACAAAAAAAAAAAACACAAGAAAACCTCCCTTAACACCCATCACCTCTAAAGTGATGTTGTAATGCTAATACCCCAGCTGACACTAACCACCACTGGCTATGTGTCAACTGTCTTAAGTGGGTAGAGGCCATTCCAGACTGATTCTGTTTTCCGTTCAATTGCTGAACCTATAACAGTTTTTGCTTTTTCTCGTGGTTTAAATATGAGGTGTCTTCCCCAAAAGCTCCTGCTAGTGCAGGAATATGCAGAGATAAAATGATTAGATGAGAGCTGTAATCTAATCAGTCTGTCCTCATTTGAACGGACTGAATAGGTGGCAACTATACACAGGTGTGATGTGGCTAGAGGAGGTAGGTCCTGCATCTTCCCTGCCTCCCCCTTCCTGACCTTGCCATGAGCTAAGCACTTTTTCTCCCCTGGGTCCTTCCCCCATGATGTACTGCCTCACTTTGGGCCCAGAGCAATGGAGTTGGCTGCATATGGATTGAGACCTCTGCAACAGTAAGCACCAAATAAACTCTTCTAAGTTTTTCTTGTTGGATATTTTGGTCACAGCAATGCAAAAGCTAACTAACACACTTTTCAATCCTAAAGAATGGTGCCTCTATATTTAACAATTCTTCCTCTGCTCACCTCTCTCCTCTTATCTTTTACTATAGGCAGCTAGAAGATTCTTTTTTTTTTTTTTATTCTTAAGTTTTAGGTGGTCACAATGTCTTTATTTTATATTTATATGGTGCTGAGGATTGAACCCAGTGCCTCCTGCATGCTAGGCAGGCACTCTACCACTGAGCCACAACCCCAGCTCCAGCTAGAAGATTCTTAAGAGCACTTTCAACACTCTGCCTAGAAAGCTCCTTAGCTATCATCCAGTTGATGAAATAAATGTTTTATTTTTCACTGTTAATACTGCCAGCATTGCTAGCTTTCTGCTACTATGTAACATGAATCACCTTTGTTCTAGCTTCCAACATTTTCCTTCCTTTAAACCCTCACTGACAGCCTCCTAGTGACATGTCTCTTTTTGGGGGGCGGGGGAGGGTCTACCAGGGATTGAATTCAGGAGCACTCGGCCATTAAGCCACATCCTCAGCCTTATTTTGTATTTTATTTAGAGACAGGGTCTCACTGAGTGGCTTAGTGCCTCACTTTTGCTGAGATTAGCATTGAACTCAAGATCCTCCTGCCTCAGCCCCCAAGCAGCTGGGATTACAGGTGTGCACCACCGCATCCGGCTGACATATCTCCTTTTAATAGATTCTCCAAGGTCCTTCTAATTTGCATTCAAGGCCTACTCCCAAAACTACTGCTATATGGCTTAGGTATTTTGCTGTAGCAGTAAATTCTGTATCACGTTTCTATCCGAAAGTAAAAAAAAAAAAAAAAAATTATATAGAATACGGGATTTATTATAGGAATTTGCCCTTATGTATGCCTACTGCTTTTGTGCCTACTGCTGTGCCTGTCCCCAACATCCAGAGAAGCTGAAGGAGAAGAGCTGTCAGAAACTGGAGAAACTGTATGCTCAGCTGTGAATTCATATGCTCAGCTGTGAATTCATTCCAAGGAGTGAGTTAGCAAATCAGCAACAGAGGGCATGTTGTTAACAATTGATGCCTCTGCACCTATTGCACTGATTTTCCAAGATGTCACTTCACATATGCTTCCAAATTTTTTGTACAATGTGTCCTGTATCCAGGATTGGTCTGAAAATATTTAGGGAAGAAGATCCTGAGGTAAATCCAAGGTAGCTAATAGGTACAACACAAATCCACAACAGCACCCTTCACACCTGTCTGCTTCTCTTTCCATTGTTAATATCATATTCCAAACTCTCATCATTTTATCTGCTTCCATTATACTCTCCTAGTCATCAGTCATCTTTCTATGTGAACAGAATATCTTTGCAGTGTCTCATATTGCTTATTAATTAAAATACCAGTTACTGAATTGAGACTAAAGACTTATGACAGGATAGTCCCAGGGACATCACATGCCATTTCCTTACACCATCCCTGTACTCTTCTCTTAGAAAACCACTTGCTAGTCCTCAAGGACATCAGATATATTTACCCCATTCCTCATGCTGCTTATTTTGCCTATATGACTTTTCCTCCTATCTACCTGCCTAACTTCCTAATCCTCTGAGGAACATGATCAAATATTTCCACAGTTTTCCTGGAACTGTGACCTTCTCTCCAGGCAGAATTGCTTCTACACCTATGTTTAAAGAGGACTTTAGACAAATTCCAATTGCTAATTTTGTTCTTTTCATATCTTTACCATGTGCAGGATTTTTTGGGTCATTATTCCCAACAATACAGTCATAATGACTATTTACATAGCATTTTCATTGTATTGGTATTTTAAGTAATCTAGTATATGGGAGGGTATGCATAGGTTACATAAAAATAATACAATATTTTATATAAGGGACTTGAGCATCCACAGACTGCGGTATCCAAGTGGGGTCCTGGAATCAATTCCCTGCAGATTCTGAGGGACAAATGCATACAAATAAGACAAAGTCACTGTCCTTAAGATGCTTAAATGTCTAGATTGAAGGTAAAAATGAAAACAGATCAATTTTTATTAAATATTAAGTACCATTACATTCTAGAAACCATTA